GTTTGGGGCAGGGTTAGGGTTAGGTCTCTTCTTTTAATTATAAATATTGTGTTTGTAAATTGTTGGAGTGGTCGTTCGTTACAGAAGTCCCCCCTTTGGTTGACTTACCCACCGACTTGTGTGCATTGCTTTAATTATAGTTTTGTTCAAACTGATATTTTGGTTGGGCTATGATGATAATGTTTGAGATTCAGTTGTCATTGTGTAGGCTTTTTACTTTTTAAAATTAATGATTACTGTCTATTTATACACACTTAATTAATTTATATTGTGACATGCTGACGCTTTTAAAGCTTACATTTTTAAAAATCAATTTAGTTGTCTACACTACCGACTGTAAAGAAAAATTATCTTGTAGGGTGGTAAAAAATTTGTAGTGCAACTTATTGTCAATATACATCCCCCCATCTATGGAACATATACTCTTCAACTTTTGCGCAATGACTTTAACTTCAATATTTGTCTTAACAAATGAATATTTTTTAGACCACCTGTGTGCTGTTGACCCTATTCTAGAAAATGTCCCTTAAGAAATAATGATAATTCCCAGGCGATGATTTCTACAAATTTTAAAAGGCTTACACACATCCTATGATCTGGGACAATAGTACTTTTAAAAACAAGCCCGTCCTACTTCTTTTAATTATGCGCTTATGGAAATCATATTTTGAGGACCTAGTGCAATTATTTGTAATGGAGTGGAACAAAACTTGCTTTTTACTCCGTTTCTGCAGCCATGGATGATTACATTTTATAATTGTTCAAATGAAAACACACTGGCTGGCACCAGCGCATTGCTACTGAATAGTTGTGGGTTACACTATTCTTCCCTAATTTTACTTGTCAGTTATTTATATATATATATATATATATATATATATATATATATATATATATATATATATATATATATAAATAACTATTATATACTATAACTAATATTTTGAAAGTTGTATGTGATGCAACTCTAATTTAGATTGTTTGAAGAATCGCACGTTTGTTTGAAGAATCGCACATATTTGTTTGAAGAATCGCACATATTTGTTTGAAGAATCGCACATGTTTGTTTGAAGAATCGCACATATTCATACCGTATGAAATAAATCCAAGAGTGACGGTATCAAACCAAGGTGTCTTCCTGTTGCAGTATCTTGACTTCAATTCTTCCTATATCCATATTGCTGCTTCTTATCAGACTAGTTTATAAATTATGAGTAGAAACTCGTTACAATTTCCCTTGTCATTGATCTGAATATTGTAATAATGCTTGGGTTTTAAAAGTTTTACAGTTACTAAAAAGGTTCATAGGTGAGCTGTGACCTAAGCCACATACGTTAGCAAAATGCGTGTTAGAAGTGGGATGCTGGGAATACTTCCATTTTCAGCGTGACAGAGATTTGAAGTGCATCACACTTATGAAGAAAAGTGTTTTTTTTAATCCAGCCTCGATTGTTGTGGAAAAATGTGATTAAGTTACAGACAAATTGACACAATCTGCTGTGCAAAGTTCAAAGTAGGCATTGCATGGGTGACATTGATTCACCCATTAAAAAGTTGTTTGTGGATAAGTTGCCCTAAGAATTTTTGACCACACTATAAATTACTTACCATATCATCTTATTTTGGGTCACAGATGGCAACTTTCTGTTTTTCTGCTACGTGTTTTGCTTACTTTTCTTTCTGCAAACTGCAAAGAGTCTGTCCATACCCGAAAAAGACAGACTTTCAGGAAAGACCCTATACACGCACGTGACACACTTGACAGTGATCAGTGGCGGGGCGCCATTGGTGCAATTGGTGCAAGCGCTCCACCCCCCCCCCCCACCTTCTAATTGTTCTAAACCTGTCTGTGCTCTAGAACTACATTACTACATCCTTGTGATCTGTCACTCGCTGGCTGCGCCAGTGAAGAGACAGACGGCGAGGATGGTTTATGCTCGTCGCACCGCTTGCGGTAGTGTCTGCTGGGAGCAAGCAAAATCTTTGCACCAAAGTTATTTTTGTCACTGAAGAGAAATATAGGCATCGTTCGTCCCGCTCAAGAAGAAAGGAGCATTAAACTGCTCTTCGCAGCACCAATTTGGTGCGAGCTAAATATTTGATCCAAGTTTCCGCGAGCCTATCTACTGCACTAGTGTAGAGTCTACGGTTACTCAATGAAGAAACATGGGTATCGAAACTGTTGTCTCCCTCTATTGTATAGCAAGTCCTGGTGCTGCACGAAGTAATTAGAAATCTTTAAATCTTCCCAGATTGTGAGCATAGTGAGTTGTTAGTATTGTTTCACTTTATTGCAGTCTTTATGCGGTTTCATCTAGAAACAGTTGTAAATATCGATATAATATTTAGATTACGGGATATCCTGCAGATTCTAATTGACTTTCTCTAGAAATCTTAATAGTAGCTGCTAAGCCTATTAAAATTGCCCATTTGCTCACTTTCTAATTTTGCACCTCCTTATCTGCAACCCACGCGACGCCACTGACAATGATGATGCTTTTTTATTGCTTTTGTACTTGAGACCAATAATAAATTATTTCAAAGACATTTTTGTGAGGCGTGCTGACAAAATGAGTTACTTCTCGCATTCCACAAATGGAGATATTGGCCAAAAGTTGACACTAGGGTCAAACTGGTAGATTTTCTATTCATGCCATATTCTTGAAGTATGGCATGCTTTTTATTATTTCATACTTATAAATTGTAAAAAATAATATCACCTCTATAAAAGTGTGGTGTGCCTGATTCCATAGGGATCGAATCTGAGAAGTAACTCATTTTCATCATTTTGTCAGCACGCTGCACATTTAATGTTTTGGTAATTTTTTCCTTCTTGATCTTGATTCTTCATGTCTGTGGACTCACTGTTTAGGTACGCTTGTGGGAGTGATTATTACATATGTCTGTGGACTCACTGTTTAGGTACGCTTGTGGGAGTGATTATTACATATGTCTGTGGACTCACTGTTTAGGTACGCTTGTGGGAGTGATTATTACATATGTCTGTGGACTCACTGTTTAGGTACGCTTGTGGGAGTGATTATTACATATGTCTGTGGACTCACTGTTTAGGTACGCTTGTGGGAGTGATTATTACATATGTCTGTGGACTCACTGTTTAGGTACGCTTGTGGGAGTGATTATTACATATGTGTGTGTGGGCCTAGAGAAAGGTACCAAAAGTCGCACAGACCGTTTTGAGCTACAGGCTGATAATGACAAAAATCACTTTTTTGACCAAAATGTGGTTCCATTAAAAAATGATAAATAGATGCAACATTTTTTTTACTATGTACTCAAAGGGTTTACATTGAATTGACTTCTGAATATTTCATTTTGAATTATTTGAGGAAAGGGAAACAAATAATGAAAACTGCTTTTAAAACGTGTTAACATCTATTGTTGAAGCACGTTTTCTCATCCCTGCTATGTTTTACCATTGAATTCCGCTCATGATATCGATGTCAACTTCAACTGAATGCCAAATTGGAAATGAATTTTCCAAGAATATATATATAATAAACATTTAAAAATAATTTTAAAAAAAGTTTGTATGTGTTCTCACGTTTGTTAAACTTAAAAGCTCATTTTCTCAAAATTATATTTCTATACCCTAGCTCGCAAAATGTGCGATATCTCAAAAACTACTTGAGATATCTAAGAAATTTAAAGACCCCTGTGTTCAGCATTGAATTTCCTATAAGGTACAACTCTTAACTCAAAATGGTCAAAATCCGACTATTGGTGGTACCTTTCTTTAGGCACACACACAATTAGTTTAACAATACATGTACCATTAATCATGAATACCTTGAATGTAATCTTTATGTTTGTTTTTTGTTTTGGTACAGTGTTTTACGGCGCTCGCAACTGCATAAGGTCATATGAGCGCGCGGGACACACCTAATATTTTCAGTTGGTAGGAAATTTTGAATTTTGCCCGGGTGGCGGCAGAAGCCTACTCTTATCGATTTTAGACCACCAAGGGATCTTTAATGTGCGCAACTTGCACAAGGGTCCTCCGAGATTTTTTCGCCCTTGTCCGAGAAGGCTAGGTGTAGATCTTTCCTACCAGAAGATCAGGGGTGTGGCTGAAAGACAGCAGTAAGAAGAAGCGAAGGAGTCGCTGTAGATAGGCTGCAGAAAGAATCAGGAGCCCAAACGAATGGGCAAAGGTGGTGTGGGGGTGGGGGCAGAAGGAGGAGACGAAAGCAGACGACAGAACATTGCTAGAGAGCAGGAAATGAGGTGAAAGGAGACAAATTTAGAGAAAAAAATGTTTCGGTCGCTACCCGGATTCGAACCCGGGACCTTTTGAGTGAGAGGCCAACACTTGAACCTGTAGGCCACGAGAGCCCCCTGTAATCTTTATATGTTGTGTATTACATGCTGATGTTCTGCCACCCAAAATTTCCCAACATGTGGATAAATGGAATTTATTTTACCATCTATGAAACTTAAAACAATGGGTGAAAGTGCATTTGAATACCAAGGCCCCAAGCTCTGGAATGCTTTACCAAGTACTTTAAGAGAGATCAAATCTTTTGATTCATTCACATGTCAGCCGAAGTCGTTTCTGTTTTTAAATTAATGAGATGAATATTTGGAATAATTTTCTTTAGTCAGAACACAACGTTTTATGTTACTGTTGTACTGTATTACAGTATTGTAGCGCGCTCAGAGCCTGTGTGTGTGGGTGGTTGGCGGGTGCTCTGGTGTGGTTTGCTCCTTCTTTCCTCTTAAACATCTATCGTCCTTATCTCTCCTTCTTTTTTACGTTTGTTGTTATTCTCTTGTAACACCTCTAATCTTTGGCACTTATATGATCTTATTGTGTTGCAAGTGCCGTAAAACTCTTTACTTAAACTAAACTAAAAGAGCCTGTGTACTTTATTCGGGGTTGAGCTCTATATAAATGTCATTTAGTATTTATTATTCTATTATCTTATCCTGTATTTTTAATTCTTTTGAAATTGTTCTTTTTCTCTGTGTATTCAAAGGACAAGAGCATGATGAATTACACCTAAGTGGAAGAATGATGATGATTGAGACATTTTGTGACAGGATGTGGCTGTGTTTGTTCGTCGCCCTCCTCTCTGGACTCGGAGTTGAAGGATTTTTTATGAACGCAAGTAAGCAGAATCACTCGCCCTTTCTGGTCTGGCTTTCACTTTAAAAAAAAAGAATCCTCCCAAACTTTTTATGGCTTGATTTCGTAGTAGTAGTAGTACTTATTGATTTTTGGCTTGGTGTTGTGATGTGAAAGCTGCTTTGAAATTTTTGGGGATTTTTTGTTGGGTTTGTTTTTTTTCAGAATTTTTTCAATTCAAAGATGTGCTTCACGAACTGTTGGTAGTTCGTCCTTGTTTTCTCTTTGTACAGTAACAAGCACTTTTACTTGGTGGCTGATGCAGTGATGGTGCATGCTGGAGAATAATTATTGTTTGTGTCCGACTCTTAACGATGGTGTGTCCGTCAATGTAGGTCAGGTCAAACACTTTTTGGGGAGGAAAAAAACGTGTCACGACTCGGTGGAATCAGGGGCTTGTCAATTTGAGGGAATGTAGAGTTGTTGGTATCATCTGAAAGCTTGTTCATTTGTCTTGCTTTTAATGAAAAAAATACCCATGTCTTGATCAGAAGTTGAGATAGTGATTGAAGGAGGTGGGGATCACCTGGTTTCAAAGGTAAAATTAGAGATAAAATGGCCTCCAAAGTTTGGTGACTTCCATAGCTTCAGTGTCCTTGGAAAGTGAAAGTTTACATTTTTTTGTGCCATTAATCAATGATTTTCAGTGAAATCTGCACAGAAATGTGTTTTTGAATGGACATTAAATGGGGTTGAGCCGAAAAACAAAAACTCCGTGAAAATTGTCAAACGTTTGGGAAAGATGACAGTTTCTTCCTTTTCAACAGTATTTTGACGAGCGGCTGATTTCACCATGATGCGTCACACATGTACTGTAGTTTTTTAAAATGACGGTAGAGCTATTAGACCCATAAAATAAAAAAATAAAAATTGTTGCATTCTTCTTCATCTGCTCAGAACCTGGTTAGGAAAAATACATTTTACTGTAAAAAAAATTAGTTTCACAACATGGTCAAGCTTTTTAAAAAATTCAATTCTTTGAATATCTTGATAACGACTCCGAATGACCTACGATTTTGATAGAGCAGATGGAACATTTGGTTTCTGGCCTCATGGATGGTCTTGGTCACTCAAAATGGTCAATAATGTCAGATAAAACTGTAATTCTAAGAGGAAGCGATTTGGCAGTGGTCACCTGTCCATGGGCTGCTTTGAAAAGTTTTTACATCAAATGGCTATAAAATGTAAGTCTTAATGCAGGCTTGTGCACTGCTATTGAAGGCACTAGAATCTTGAAGTGCCAATTTGGAAATGAGAAGGTGGCTTGTGGGTGCTCTTGTGTGGTTTTCTCCTTCTTTCCTGTCAAATATCTATCGTCCGTATCTCTCCTCCTTCTGTAGGCCTACTTTGTATGTTTTTCTCTAGTAACACCTCTTATCTTTGGCACCTCTATGACTTAATTGTGTTGCAAGTGTCGTAAAACTCTTACTTTAAATACTTTAAAACTAAAAACTCTTCAGTTCTTACAATATGTTTGTTTGAGATTAGATTTATAAGAATTGGCTATCACCCCTGTATTGTGCCAATTTGAATTAATGATGATTTGTAGTTTCAGCCACTGATAAACCACGTAAAGGTAAACTCTCTGGCCATGTCATTATTTTACTCTCCCCTATCTGGCATTTTGGCAGTCTTTGGTATCTTCGCTTTTTGCTCATGCGCATTCAATTTATGCCAGTGTGTGTCACACGCTGGTTAGCAGTCCTACGCAACTGCATGCATGTGTGTGCTGCGACATGTACTTTGCATGGATAGTCTGCGGGTGGTTGGAGGGCGCCTCTGGTAGATTTCCTACTTTTTTACTTTCCCTCTGTTGTTTTTGTCTGTCTGTCTTTCTGTCTTTCTATCTTTCTTTTATCCCCAGCACTAAAAATCACCACGATTGTGTTGACGTGCCGCTCTTTACTCAAACAAACAAACAAACAAACAAGCAAGCACGGGTAGTCAGAAGGCGAACTCTTCTGTAATGTATATATGAGCTAGTCTGGGGGAGTCCAGAAGTACTCACCTCTGGCTCGTTTCTGAGCGGGGATCTTCCTGATTATTATGCACTTAAAATTTATATACATAGGCATATATATATGATATATATATATATATATATGTGTGTGTCATCCAAACCAGTATTCGCACTGAAATCTTCCCACAGAATGTAGACACCCTTTTGTCCTCCCCACCCCCACATCCCAACTGCCCCCCCTCCCCTCTCCCCCCACTACATATTATAATATTATGTAGCCTGTGCAAAAAAAGTCACCAGTGTGAATCGGTTCTGTCCCCACCCATGTTCACTTTGCTATCAGACTATATTCCATCTAGCGTCCAGGACTGGAGGAGATTTGGTCAGATATGTATTATTATGTTCCGCGCTAATTACAGATCGGTGCAATCTTAAGATTGCGCTGCGCATTTTTTGGCGATCGTATAATTGCACGGCAATCTGAAGATTGCGTTAATGTTATAGAAATCTATATTTCTGAAATAATTAAAATAAAAAAAAAATTCACTTCCATCTTTTTACATCAAGGAACATTCACATGTGTTTTCAAAAGTTAAAAAATATGAACATTGAAATTAAAATTAACATATTTATGAAACTGAAGAGCTCACAAGAATGATACGACAATTATAATATGTTCGTTAAAACGGGGAAGCGCAATCTTAAGATTGCTGTTCAATTATACGATCGTAAAAACACGTGCAATCTTAAGATTCCATCGATCGGTAATTAGCGCGGAACATACACACACTTTGCCTCTCTTGTGCAATGCATGCTGAAGACGTACGTAGGAGAGGCACAGTCACACCTTGATAGTGACATGATGATGAGTGAGATGAAAAAATGGAACTGCAGTGACATGCGTAATGCTGGGATGGTGACTCGGCGTTGTGACATTCTGAACAGTCGTAGATAGACGTTTTTGTTGTTTGCGGTGGGTTTTTTGTGTGGGTTTTTTTTCAATAATGTCTTTGTAGAGGATGGTTGCCTCTTACAGAATCAAAACTAACCCAAATAATAAATCAAAAAGATATTTTTAATTATTAAAAAACAACTTTTATAATTAAGGGTGGCTTTTTGGCTGCGTATAATAATTTTTTTTTAGCCGAACGAATTAAGAAAAGATTTTTTTAAATTGAAAAAGTATATAAAGGTTGGCTCTTTGGCTGCTTAGAATTTTTTTCAGGCGAACGAATTAAGAAAAGATTTTTTTTAATTGAAAAAAATTTATAAAGGTTGGCTCTTCTTTGGCTGCTGAGAATTTTTTTTCAGCCAGTTCTGGTTATCGTTTCCGCGTTTATGTGTGTCACTGCAGTATCTTTATTTCTAATGGAATGGCCTAAGAACGTACATAATGCTTATTCTATACATGTGTCTTATATATATTTATATTATGATTATTATGATAATGGCATGTTGTTTTCTTGCGATGAACAATGCAATGTACTAATACTAAACTACCCCCCCCTCTCTCCCCCGTCTCTCCCCCCTCCCCTCTCTCTCTCCCCCCCCTCTCTCTCTCCCTCTCTCTCTCTCTCTCTCTCTCTCTCTCTCTCTCTCTCTCTCTCTCTCTCTCTCTCTCTCTCTCCCTCCCTGACTTCCTGAGATGAGATGAGCTGATGACAAATTCCTGTTGACTTTGGCGCTCTACCTCTTCTGAGGGCGTCTGGCCTTGTGGTGGTTGTTGTTGTTGTTGTTGTTGTTGTAGCTGATGTTGTGGTTATTGTTGTCGTTGTTGTTGTTGTTGTTGTGGTTGTTGTTGTCGCTGTTGTTGTTGTTGTGGTTGTTGTTGTCGCTGTTGTTGTGGTTGTTGTTGTTGCTGTTGTTGTTGTTGCTGTTGTTGTTGTTGTTGCTGTTAATGTTGTTGTTGTTGCTGTTACTGTTGCTGTTGTGGTTGTTGTTGTTGCTGTTGTTGTTATTGTTGTTGTTGTTGCTGTTGTTGTTATTGTTGTTGCTGTTGCTGTTCAGTTGTGAAGGTTTCTGTTGTCCTTTGTATTGCAAGGGTCAAGGTGTGTGTGTGTGTGTGTGTGTGTGTGTGTGTGTGTGTGCGCGCGCGCGCGTGCGTACCTTTCCGAAATGTTTGGAGCCCCGAGGAACGCGTGCTCTTCGCCAGGGCCTCAGCCTCTCTTGGGCAGCGGGTGAGGCAGTCCAGCCTCCCTGAATCCTCCCCGAAGAGATGCCTTCGCCGGAAGGTTGTTGTTGCTGTTGTTGTTGCTGTTCCGCTGTGAAGGTTTCTGTTGTCCTTTCTATTGCAAGGCTCAAGGTCTAACCTTGGCTGTGGGTGGTTGGCGGGTGCTGTGGTGTGGTTTGCTTCTTCTTTCCTGTCAAACATCTATCGTCTTTATCTCCCCTTCTTTTTTGCGTTTGTTACTCTCTTGTAACACTTCTAATCCTCTGGCGCTCATATGACCTTGTGCAGTTGCGGGCGCCGTAATACCTCTACTAAAACAAAACATCTATCGTCCTTATCTCCCCTTCTTCTTTTTGCGTTTGTTACTCTCATGTAACGCCTCTAATCCTCTGGCGCTCTAATGAGCTAATCCAGTTGCGAGCGCCGTAAAACCTCTATTAAAACTTTAAAAAACCTCTTGTAATACCTCTAATCTTCTGGCGCTCATAATGACCTTGTGCAGTTGCGGGCGCCGTAAAACTTCTACTAAAACAAACATGTTGTTGGTGTTGTTGCTGGTGTTGTGGTTGTTGTTGTCGTTGTTGTTGTTGTCGTTGTTGTTGTTGTTAATGTTGTTGTTGCTGTTGTTAGTGTTGTTGCTGGTGTTGTTGTTGTTGGTGTCCGTCTGTGAAGGCTTCTGTTGTCCTTTGTATTGCAAGGGTCGAGGTCAAGTGCTCCCCTCTTGGTGTTTTAGTAAGAGCCTTCCGGCACTTGTAATGGCAATACTCATAATATTAATAATAATAGGTATATATAGCATCTTTGCATAGCGCAAATTCCCACTCAATAGCAAACTCTGTGCGCTTTACAATCTCTATTATTATTACCCCCAGCAGACCTGATTTGGGGAAAGGGGGCGG